AATTTTCATTTTTTTTTGAAGTCCATTCGCTCCACCATTTATCCCGAGCTAGCAGGGTGGCTGCTGCTTTCTACCGGTTGTCGCAAATTTCACGAATGCAAGGTCGTTCCAAAGCCTTATTCTCTTCACCTTTAAAAACAAGTACCACAAAATATAATGACATTTTACTCTCATAATTTTTTAACTTCTATCCAATCGGATTTTTGATGCCTTCTCCTCCAAACAGATCGTTTATCAAGGGATAGGCTAACGAATTTTCGTTATCACATATCTTACGTAAGCAGACGGAGTGCGAAATGACGGCGGGGGTGGAGGGGGGGGGGGGCGCAGACCCGTTTTTTGGATGTTAGCCAGTATATGTCTGGTTTATATCGGCGCGTCATTACTATTAGGCTAGCGACACGAGATAGCTCATTCTTTAGATTATTTCTGCTCGTTTACTACGATTATTTTTATCAGTTGTTCTTTTAAAGACTTCTTTAACTCAGAAAATTACTATTTTGGGCGACAGACTATTTATTTAAGGCTTCTTTTACACTTTAACCAACTGCAGTGCCATTCCTCTAATGCTCGAAAGCACTACAGACAAAGCAAAATAATTTTTAAGAATGTAATGGCCTTTCGCGCATATTTCTGGTCACTTTCTCCGCTCTCCTGCTCTAAAACCACGTTTCTCGAAGTGTTATAAGAGACCAGTTTCGTACTCTCTAATCTCGCTTTCCCACGATTCCATAAGCGAATGAAATGTCCATTCGAATTTATATCTTCTCGTAACGTTTTTTGCTTATCCGCAAGATCAAACCATTACGTTCCAGATCTCTGACGCATATTCTTTTTATGATCGAAACAATCCAAACTCGCAAATCTTTCCTAAAGCTGTAGATGTAATCTTTTCCTTCGCTGGCGTCGTTAAGAAATAAATGATCCTGATATATTCTGGAGATACAAGCTGTCGTATTGCTAGTTCTTATTGTTAGATTAGAATTCCATTCGAAATGAGAAATGTGGCTAAGGGGTCTAGTTGAATCACGCCGAAACGCAATTTAACGACAAATCGCTATTAAACTGGCAAATCCGCATTTCTGCAAAGATTGAAGCAATGAATAGAACGTTTTAGGGTATGTTACTCCTGATTTTGTTGCCCTTAATTGGGGCTCAAAACCCGTATGGGCCTTCACAACTCGACCAATACGCCCGATTGCTTAATTCCGGTAATTTGGGAGGTTTTGGATTTATCCAAAACGCTCTGGCTCAAGGGACCGTACGAGGCCTCGGTGATTTGAACCCACCTCCTTTGTTAGCTGGGTTACCACCGCTTCCGTTGACCTACGATGAAGGTAAGAAAAAAAATTTAGCGGTTATCAGCTAACAAATGTATTTCTCTTTAAAGTTATGAAACAACTGACCTCAACTTCACCACCTCCAACAACTCGTGCCACAGCTATACCGACCACACCTTCGTCGAACCCTGGAGGTGTCTATGCTGTCAATAACTTGGTAGAAATGCCTC